AGCTGAAAAAAATTCTAAACAATATTTACAAAATATTTTAAACTTTCGAAAACACCCAATTAAATAATACAACAATCACAATTTTAAAAAATCGAACAAGCATCAAATTAAGCATAGCATATTAAAAACGCAATTAATTGCGCAACAAGCTCTGATTCCACTGTTGGGAATCATGCACGTGGACGCAGCAAAAAACAAAAATTTTACATGAAATTAAACAATTTAATTCACATAATCACATGCTCGATTCGTATTAAACAATTAATTGCGTACCTTAGCGCTTCTAGCGAAAATTAAAGACAGCATGCGTATAATTAATTCGATAATAAATCACATAGCATGCTCGCAGTAAATCATGAATTTATACAAACGATAACATATAGCAATCCAGAAAATTCATATAATTTAATCTAATTAAATTAATACCTAATTAAAACCGGATCCGAAAAATACCTCTTGAAGCGTGAGGAAACTCTCGAATCGAAGCAAACTGCCATGGAAACCAATCCGTGCAGTCGGGAGGAGAAACAACGGTGCAGCAGCGACGGGCGCGCTCAACAACGACGGCGCGTGAGATCCACGTGCGGTCTTTCTGGCACGATTCTTTCCACCCTCGAAGATTGCACAACTACGAAGAGATGTAGGCAACTTCAGACAAATGAGCCAAGAGCCAATGCACGAGTCATGGGAGACGTTCAAGGACTTATTACGACAATGCCCTCAACACGGATTCAACTCGTGGGATCAAATGGAGTTGTTCAACAATGGGCTCGACCAACCCGCCCGATCTCTAGTCGATGCTGCTTCAGGTGGATCGTTGCAAAACAAGACTCCCACAGACGCTCAAGACATTGTCGAGCGAATGTGTGAGAATGCTTACCATTGGCCGTCCGAACGAAGTGGTACACAAAAGGTGGTCGGAGTCCACCAACTCAATCCATTAGCCTCGTTATCAGCACAGTTAGCAACCCTATCAAATCAGGTCGCCCAATTATCAGTTCGAGGGCCACAAACCGAATAAGTAGCATCAGCGAGTAATTCGCAAGTCACAAATGACGATTGGGAGCATGCACGCTATATGAACAACCGATTCAACAATTTCCGGGGAAAAAACAATCAGAATTAAAACCCTACTCAGTACTACATGGGAATTCGGAATCACGAGAACTTCTCCTACGCCAATCCAAAGAATGCTCTACAACCTCCTTCCGGTTTCAACCATCATAGAGAGCAAAGAGGACCGACTTATGACGAGCGTCTTCACCGACAAGAACATGAGATGGAGGGCCTAAAGTCAACAATGAATAATATGGAAATGCAAATAGGGCAAATCGCCCAATCCATGTCCATGATGGCAAAGGGTGGATTTCCGAGCAATACCGAAGTCAATCCAAAAGAAAGTTGTCAAGCCATAACCACCCGAAGTGGATGCAAATGACCAATCCTCCTTATCCAACAGACGAGTCACCAAAGCCAATCGTACAACCGACTACGATCGAGCCGAAAATCACCATTTCAGGGAGTAGTACAAAAGAGGCTAGTAAGCCCAATAACATTTCTTTCCTTGACAATCCTCCTCTTCTGATAACTCCTATTCCTATCTAGAAAGATTAAAGAAGAAGAAGTTCAAGGATCAATTAAATAAGTTCATCGAAAAGATCAAACAAATTCGAATCAACATCCCTTTTGTAGAAGTCTTGGAGGTAATGCTAAACTACACCAAGTGTTGGGAATCGGGCACGTGTACGCAGCGGAAGACAAATTTTTTACATGAAATTAAACAATTTAATTCACATAATCACATGCTCGATTCATATTAAACAATTAATTGCGTACCTTAGCGCTTCCAGTGAAAATTAAAGACAACATGAGTATAATTAATTCGATAATAAATCACATAGCATGCTCCTAGTAAATCATGAATTTATACAAACGATAACATATAGCAATCCACGAAATTCATACTGCGAATATAGACATATAATTTAATCTAGTTAAATTATACCTGATAAAAACCGGATCCGAAAAATACCTCTTGAAGCGTGAGGGAAACTCTCGGATCGAAGCAAACTGCCACGGAAACCAATCCGTGCAGTCGGGAGGATCAACGGCGGTGCAACGCCGACTGATGCGCTCAACGACGGCGGCGCATGAGATCCACGCGCGATCTTCGGGTGGCGCATGGGGCGTGTGCGGCGGTGCTTCCGCGACGGCTTCTCGGCAAATCGACTTCTTGGTCTCCCTCCTCTCGAATTTCACCTCGTATACTGAGATCTACTAAATACGTGGCACTAAACACGCAAAAGTCAGAATAGACGGAAGAAAAAGACAAAGGAAATATACTACCAATAGTAACCGACGCGTGAGGCCGATTCCGGCGACAGCGACGGCGGCGGAGAGGGGGAGGATCGGCCGAAAGTGTGAGAGAGCGGCTAGGGTTTTCTATTGTGTGTTGTCGTTTTTTGCAAGACCTAAATATCATGTATTTATAGTGTAAATCATGTATTTATAGTGTCTTGTATTAAAGTTGGACTGGGCCCAACAGCTTAAGTTCGTTAGTTTTTACTTGGTCCAATTTAAGTTGCTGGGCTCGGTCCTGTTGAACCTTTTGATGTAGTTAACGTACAGTACGATCCCTTCGATTCATATGTCCCGATTAAACTAGAGGCATTAGTTCATCGAGACCTCCTTAGTAGTTCAATAACTGTGCGATCGTTCTAAGTGTTGTAATCGGTACGTGCATGCATGACTTAGAGAATCGAATTCTCTAATCATCACTTAGTCAGCTCTAGCCAGAGACTTAAAGATTACAAACTATGAGAACACATAGGACATCCAAGATTATTCTAGCGATCGAATCCCGGACTACAATGCACAGACCTCCCACTGGATTTCGGACTGTACGAACACGGGCCCTTGGGGCGGTCCTCGGTGGAACTCAGGGACATGTCACGATACAGCTGGTCCTCTAGTGAAGTCACGGTGATGTTTAGGTCATAAGGACTAATTGTGTACAACTATACCATAGATATCTCTACTCGATTATTGGGAACCACTTAGAGATTTCTAGGGAGAGGGAGTTCAATGAACTCGTCAACTCATGAGCACCCACTTATGCATCCCGATATCACAATACCATTTACTGATGAGATGCAGTACACATGCACTAAGTGCTAGTCTCTTAATGGGAAAGACCGATATCCTCATTTGTGGTGTAACCCTTCGACTAGGAACACATTTAACAGTTATCATACTTAAGTAAATATCTCACGATCCTAAAAGATCAACTACAAGTACTTGTAATAACTGTAAGGACTACATCTATGTTTGAACAAGGGACAAAGATATAGAATGCCAAGGTGTTTTATCATTAATACGAAAAAGATTATTTATTACAAGAATAAATTGAAAGACCACAGCCACAAGTTGGCTTGTTTGATACGCGTAAAACCTACGTATGAAAAACCACAAGTGTACAGTATCGCGTTTTGTAGAATAGTGAATCCCAGATATCGATCCACAGGGAATTAAGTTCCTAAATTTACCAAATACCGTAATTATACGATCCTAAACTTTATTTAGACATACGAACGAATAGGGGATGAAATTAAGCTAAAAGAAAACAAAAATAAAAACAACAGTCCGCCAGGACAAGCTAGGAATTCCGACGTGTAATGGCTTCTAGGGTAAAATCCACCAGTGTACTATCGATAAAGATCTACAAATCCGAATCTAATGTCAATTCTATATTCTCTAACCCAGACACTAAAATACCCTAATCCCCGTCTCCAGTGTAGTTAGAGTCTACCCACAGGTCCGACGTCTCCGTTCAGAACCTCATATTAAGACAACATTTAGGTCAAGTCCTTAAGGGCTACCCGAGGTGCATCACGTCTCCGTTTCCACAACCCGAGCTATGTTTTCCTAAAATCAAACGAGAAATCCTCTCTCGAGTTCATTCCCATTTAGAATCAATTCAAATTTTGGCCAAACAATCGAAAGCATTTAAAACAGGAAAACATAAACAGAATCAAAGAACGATAAATAGATCGCAGATCTGGAAATCAAAATCAATATATACAAGGTTTCATTTCCCTAGAAGAAAATACTAAGTTTATTACAAACATAGCATCAAAATGAAGAACACGAGAAATCATAAACTAAACGTAAAGAAAAAGATTATGAAAAACCCGAGTCAAAACCTTCGTCGAAGCTTCCCGCGAAGAATTGGCGAAAACCGAAGAAAAATCGAAGAAGAGATTCTGAGCTATGTCTTGATATTTAAAAATTAAGAAGAGACCTTCTATTTATTGTGATAAATCAAATAAAAATATCTCTTCTCGAATTATGTGCCCGGATCGCGATCTGGGCTACTTGGATCGCAATCTAGCAACCGTGGAAACTGCGCACCGCCTTGCCAGATCGTGATACGGGAATGGTGGATCGCGATCTGGTTCTTGATCAAAAAATGTTCTGTGAGACCCCCTAGATCGTGATCTAGGAAGGCTAGATCGCGATCTGGGTCATGATCAAGAAAGTCTTCTGTAAGACCCCCCAGATCGCGATACTGGAAGTTTGGATCGCGATCTAGGCTTCTGCGCCAACTTCAAACACTGTTTTGACCCTTTTTTAGCAGTAATTTGACAATTTTTCATTTCACAAAAGTTGTAGATCTTGAAGTTATCTTTCTAAGGTCACTTGAATCAGCTCAATTGGAGGTTGTGTGTGAAAGTTATGCTGGACATAGCAAACACTGCCACAATCCACGAGAATGCACTTTTGCACGTGTTTGGTTTGATTTTCGGCTTTGCTTCCAATATCGTTTCAAATCGGAAAAAATAGCTTCTCTTTACCTAAAATATAAATAAAACAAAAATAACATAATATATACAAACAAAGCCTATACTCGGACGAACGAAGACCAAAACCCGAAAAATTGATAAGTGAAAATCATGCAAAATGAACACTTACCATTGGTCACCTACTCTAACACCAAGTTCATGAAGGAAGTACTATCCAAGAAAATACGAATCGAAGAATACACACCAGTGACACTCACGGCAACTTGCAGTGTCATTCTTCAGTCGAATCTACCAGAGAAAATGAAAGATCGAGGGAGTTACTTTATTCCTTGTATTATTGGAAATTCTACTTTCGATAAAGCTTTATGTGATTTGCGGGCAAGTATTAATTTGATGCCTATGTCTGTGTTTCTAAAACTGGGCTTAAGAAATTTGAACCGCACTCGCATGACTTTACAATTAGCTGATCGTTCATTGAAATACCCTAATGGGATTGTAGAAGATGTGCTAGTTAAAGTAGAAAAATTCATCTTGCCTGTTGATTTTGTGGTACTTGAAATGCCTGAAGATGATGAAGCACCAATTATTCTAGGTCGTCCATTCTTAGCCACTGGTAAGGCGATGATTGATATGGAATTAGGATCTTTGAAACTTAGGGTGAATGGGGAAGAGATTGTTTTCAATTTGATGAATGCATTTAAATACTCTGAACATGTTGAGCATTGCAGTAGAATAGACGTGATCGAGGACTATGTTTCCTCCTTTTTTGATTTGTATGAATTATGTGATTCTGTTGAGCACTGCATTGTTAACTCTATTGATTTGCATTCTGCTTCCCCTGAAACTCCAATTGAAAATAATGTGCTTGATTGTGTGTTGTTTCTTGAATGTGCCGAGATTTTGGGCATAGACGAGGTAAGAATCATCCCTGAGATACCAGTTAGTGTGAAAACGGACCCCGTACTGGAATTGAAACAATTACCGGATTATCTTTGTTATGCTTTTTTTGGAGCAGACAAGACTTAACCGATGATCATTTCTTCTAGTTTGAGCGGGGTCGAAACAAACACACTGTTGGAGGCCCTTAGAGAATATAGATCGGCTATAGGTTGGTCTATTGAGGATATTAAGGGAATTAGCCCGTCTATTTGTTTGAGTAGGTGACCAACTAGCCAACTTGTGGCTGTGGTCTTTCTCTTTTTCTTGTAATAAAACAATCGTTTTTCATTCGTAATAATAAAATATCTTATTTGGCATTCTATATCTGTTATCCCATGCAAGCAGCATAGATATAGTCCTAACGAGTTACTCTATTACTGTGAGTTGATCTAGTAGAATCGTGAGATAACTCAGCAATGTAATGTAACTGTTAAACCTTGTTCCTAGTCGATGGGTTACGCCAATAATGAGGATACCGGCCTTTCCCTTTTGAGACTAGCACTTAGTGTATGTGTACTGCGTCTCATCAGTCCTCGGTGTTGTGACATCGGCATACTTGAGTGGGTGCTCATACTGGATGAGTTCACTGAACTCCCTCGCCCTAGAAATCTATAAGTGGTTCTCATTCATCGAGTAATAGGTTTCTAAGATATAGTTGTACACCATTAGTCCTTAAGACCCAGACATCACCGTGACTTCACTAGAGGACCGATTGTATCGTGACCTGTCCCTGAGTCCCACCGCGGATCGCTCCAAGGGCCAACGTTCGTGCAATCCGAAATCTAGTGTGAAGTCTGTGCATTGTAGTAGGGGATTCGAGCGCTTGAGTAGTCATGGATGTCCTGTGTGTTCTGACGGTTTATAATCCATGGAATCTCTGGCCAGAGTTGATAGTGGGGTGATTAGGGAAATGTGTTTCCCTAAGTCGCACACTAACGGATTTATAATACCTAGAACGTTCGCACGGTCATTGAACTTTATAAGAGGTCTCGGTGAACCAATGCCTCTAGTTCAATCGGGACATGTGCTACGAAGGGATCGTACTGTACGCTAACTATATCATAAGGTTCTTGCAGGCACTTCATTTGTATCTAGGGAATCATGATGCGTAGTTGCTAGACGCCAATCTTGATTCGATGGGCACCGATTTGATCGGGATTAGGTAAAATGAGTTTTACTCTAATCGGGACTCTTGGGAGGAGTTCGTATAAGAACAATGTGTTGTTCGAATCACAAAGAGTTGTGAGCCCACGGCTAGCATACACCTGAACCATTGAGGGTCACACTTCTCGTGTAACATGGATCCTTGATAACAATGAACATAGATTAATATGTTAATATTTGCAAAGTTGGAGGTCAATATGATTGAGTCCAAGATTCGTGATTGTGGATTACGAGTCGGAATAAACGTAGAGAAAGAGAAATGCGGAATTTAGTGAACTTTCTAAATTGGGAAGTTTCCCGATTTAGCAAGTCCACTAAAGTGGAAGTTTCCAATTTTGGAAATTGGAAATTTCGAAGAGGCACTCGTATCGACGAGGACTTTGAGCTCGTCACAAATATAATTTTGTTATAATTTTGTGGACGATCGTTTATTAGAAACGAGGCCATAAAGGGAATGGGCTTAAAGCATCAGTGGGTCAAGCCCAATGACTTAAGCCCGCTAGGGTTGAAAACCCTAGGTATAAATAGACCTCAAAAGGAGTTTTGAGATTAGATTTTTCAGCACCAAAACCCTAGCCGCTCAGCCCCCCCTCTCGGCCGCTGCATCTCCGCCGCGCCGCCGCCGTCCGCCGCCGGAATCCGCCGGTTTTTCCCTCTCCTTTCTCTATCGTATTCCCTTGTTATCTAACCCCTTTGTATCTAGTGCTACAGTAGGGGGAGATCCGTTTATTCGAGGTGAAACCTAATTGGAGAGGAGCTTCTGCCCCGACGGAATTGCCACACCGCCGCACGCGCCGCTGCACCGCCCACGCGCCGCCGCCGTTGTCACGCACGCGCCGCCGTCGCTCCACCTTCGGACCAGCTGCCGTTCGGTGGTGTTCCTGCAGCCCCGAGGATTGGTAATCGCAGCTTGTACGTGATTGGTTCTTGATTTCGATTCGTCGAAATCTCACGCTACAAGAGGTAAACAAATCGAAACTGTCGTAAATTAATTCGAACATGTTTGTATGAATTTTAATTTACGAGCATGAGTAATATGTGATTACGTGTTTCGATTTTATTGAATGATGAATAAGCATGTTTCGTGATTTTCGGTTTTACGTATTTTTCAATTAAATCGATAATTACCATATGTATGGCGGAAGCGTTAAGGTACGTTGACTATGTGATTAGTTTATGCATGTAATCGAAACTAGTTCGATATAAAAATTTTAAATTCCGCTGCGTATACATGCACGATCCCCAACAGTGGTATCAGAGCCACGGGTTAATCGGTTATTTGTCAACGTGTTTATCGTTTTCGAAAGCATGCTTCGATTTGTTGAATTGTTGAATTTTTGGTGTTATCAAATTGGGTGGTTTAATATTAATTAAATATTTTGAATATTTCAGAAAATATAAAAAAATTTAATTTTTGAAAAAATTCGTTTTTGCTGCTGTTTTTCCCCAGCTGACCGAACCGGTCCGGTCGAACCGGTCCGACCGGTCCGGTCAGCACAAAAAAAAAAAAAAAAAAAAAAAATTATTTGATTTTCTAAGAATTAATATTAAAATTAATTGATTTTTAATTTTTGAAATTATTTATCAATTAAACCCAAATTAGATAATTGATCCATTAATTTAATTTGAATTCAATGAATAGTGTTGGATTAATTATTTAATTTAATCGTTAAATTAGTTTAATTAATGGAACACAAATTGGATGGTAAATAATTAATGGACTTCATTCTTATTTGAATGCTTTATGAATGAAGGGAGTCCGTTAATTATTTTTGCAATTAATCGTATTAATTAATTAATTCATGAGATGAATAATTGTGATTAAGTACGATGATGATCGTATGTCTCTCTTAGGATCAATATGCGTTTCCACATACCTAGAGAACATAGTTGTAGGAATCACAAACGATCATAACCTAAAACTTCCGATGAGCTAATAAGATTTAATAAATTAAATCCCTCATTCTTAATCAAGAATAATTATCAAGCTATAAAGAAAAACCAAATTGTTGAATTTTTCTTTCCTTCTACCAACAATTAAATTATGTGTAGCCTCTCATAATAGTGCAGTAAGCCGTGTTAGCGGGGAGTGCTATTGTGGGATAAGCTGTAACTTAATTGACATTAGATGGAGATACGGTCATAGATAAAATTATGTTGGATTAATGTGGTCGGCTAGATTAACTAGGGATTGCATTAGTTTGATATAGTTGGATCTATGACATCTCATATTGGTAGGCTAGACTTGACACACGAAGATTTTGATATTCGCTAGATTAACTTAGGTCATTATCAAGTGTGAGGTAAATCGATCTTTAGGGTCACATAGTGATGTGATTGATAGTACTCTACCTTTAGGCTTATGTAATCGGGATAGATTAACTACGGGTTACATTAGCGCTATTGGACCTAAAGCCCATTAAAGAAAAATAGGTTTTCTCGATTGTCTGCTAGAGGGTGGTGGAATTCGATAAAATTAGTGGGAGAACAATTAAAACATAAAAGTCCAAAATTTTAATTGTGACGATTATTACGAACTAAACTCTAATTATTGTCTTCTTAAAATTTTCTCAGCAACAATGTCCAAACATCCCCTTTCCTCAATCCTCGACCAAAACAAACTCACCGGTCCAAACTATTTGGATTGGCTTCGCAATCTGAAACTTGTGCTCCAAGTCGAGGAGCGTCTCTATGTGCTCAATGAACGTCCCCCCGCTGCTCTTCCTGCGACTGCTACTGCTGACGAGACTGCCACTTTCGAGGCATGGAAGAAGGACGACCTCCATGCGAGGTGCTACATGCTAGCATCCATGGTGCCAGAGCTCGCGAGGAAGTATGAGTCTCACGTGCATGCTTATGATATCAAGCACCATCTTGAAAGCATGTACAGTGAGAATACTAGGGCATCGAGGTACTCAGCTACCAAGGAGTTGATCACCATGAGGCTGCGTGAAGGGGCTTCGGTCCACGAGCACGGTCTCAGGATGATCACTCTCCTTGAGAAGCTGGTGAGCCTTGATGTCACCCTCCCGGCCGAGCTCTCGGTGGATTTGATGCTACTGTCCCTTCCTAGTTCTTATGAATCGTTCATAGTGAACTTCAACATGAACAAGCTCGATCCACCATTGGATGAGTTGTTGAACATGTTGGTCAGCTATGAGTCCACAATCAAGAAGGAGAAATCTATTCTCCTAGTTGCTCCTTCTGCAAAGAAAGGTTCTTTCCAGAAGAAAAGGAAAGAAAGGAGTTTCGGCCCGAGCAAGAAACTTGAGAAGGGCGAGTCGAGCGGAGTGAAGAATGACAAGGTCACCAAGCAAGTTGATGACGCCTGCCATCATTGTGGAAAGAAGGGCCATTGGCGACGCAACTGCAAGGCTTACCTCGATCAGAAACGTTCTGAAAAGGGTACGTATTTAGTTGAAGTTAACTTGTCCGTTAAATCTTCTGCTTGGGTATTGGATACTGGTTGTGGCTCACATCTTTGTAATGATTTGCAGCTCATGACAAGAAGTATGAAGCTTAATGTGGGTGAGACCTACCTAAGAATGGGCAACGGAGCAAGGGTTGCTGCTGAAGCCATTGGGACAATTTATCTTTCTGTTTTGGATTCTAGTTTTTCCATTGTTTTGAACAATTGTTTATTTGTTCCGTCACTTATTCAAAACCTTATTTCTATTCCTGTTTTGGATAATGAAGGTTTTACTTTTGTTTTTGGAAATTCGATTTGCATTATACAAAAGGAACAAAATATGATTTGTAAGGGACAACTTATAAACAACTTATATGAACTGAATCCAAGTGAAATACCTATTAACGTTATATCAGCAAAACGAAAAGATATAAGTCTTAACCCCGCACAACTTTGGCACGCTCGACTAGGTCACATTTCCTTGAGAAGGATGAACAAGTTTGTTAGTGAAGGA